CCCGAACTTAACAAATGATGATAGGAAAGTGTGATTTGTTTGCCATTTCTCTCACTCACACTTCACACTTATTCTGAAAAGCTCAAAATTTTCCCTTTCGCGTTTTTAGGAACTCCTCATAGGCTGTACAAATATATTTTGATAATCTTTTTGATTGAAATAAAATATAAATCATTTTACTATCCTTAAAAACGTTTTGCTACAAATGCCTTGATCCTGAGAAAGGACATCAGCAGAAGCGCAAAGGAAGCCGAAAGAAACTTTAGCGGCAATGCAGGCGTCTTGAGCGAAATGGAGGAAAAGGACCGGGAAGAGGTGTTCCACCTAACTTGGAGCTCCTTGTTTGGTGTGTTGTGGCCATTGTAGAGGTACATTTACGCATTGTTAGCACATCATAAAACAAATCTCATGAATATTGCGGAGTTTTATCTGCCGCTCGCTGCTTAATGCATTCCTAGTCGGCAGAGTGGAGATACTGCCGACTTGGCTGCGGGTTATTGCCAGAACGGAAACCTCAATCCAGCATTATTCCTCCGCTGAATAAGGGAAAAGGAAAGAAGGCAGATGCAGATGCCTCTCCTGTCCTGTCCGACGGCCTGTGCAGTCATGTGCAGGAATTAATTTTGCGATTACGCGTAATTACAGCCCGGAAAAAAGTCAACAAAGAAGGACGCGGCGTTGGCAGGAGCAAAACTTAATTGCGAGTAAGTGTTGCTTAATACTTATTATCTGCACTCGCGCCTCCGCCCCTTTGGGCGCGCCTCTCGTCGGTTGGGGGGCGTGTCAGCGGCATTGCCGAAACTTAATTGTTAGCTTGCCGAAACTTTTCGACGCGATATTTAACCCTTTACTTTTTGTTGCTAATTAAAAAACTTTTGACGTTTAAAGAAGCCAAAAAAAACGGAGTGAAAAAGATGGGAAAATGAAAAGCGAGAAAGCGAAAAGCTTGATAGATATACATCTATATGTACGTATGGCTATGCGTCGGTTGTTTACACAAAAGCAATCATACGCCACGTTGTGCTTGGGTAGAAGTTGCCGCTGCCCCGCCCACTTATCCCGACGAGCAGTATCGTCACTGTCAACAATGAGACATCAAGGCGGAATCGCTGGCATTTGGGGGGGAGGGGGCGCAAAGAGTCCTGACTGCTGACGTTGCGTTGAAGTTTCATTAATTAGATAAAACTTTCTGCCATTTCCCCCACATTGTTAATGACGCCAGCGAACGAGCTGCAAATTATTTGCACACAACAAAAGTCAGAAAGTTGCGCCAGTTGAAGCTCGAAATGTTTGAAAAGAAGTCAGCCATGATATGATATGATGTGCAGAGAAGCCAAGGAGCGGCGGGGATCCTTTTTGGGCAAAAGAAAACTTGGCTTACCTGCGGCAATATTTTTTCGTTTTCGAAATAATAAGGAAAGTCCAGAAAATTAGGTTTCAATTAGAAAGGATGCGTTCGAGGGGGTAGAAATCAGGCCTTCGCTGAAGTTGAACAAATATCCGAAAATAAAGAAAATCATTAACCCACCCCAAGCCTTAACCCCTTTCTAGATTCAGTGAGCTAATCAAGGAGCAAGGTGGTAAGTAAAGAAAAACCGGAAACGCCGTGCCAATCAAATTAAAAAAAGGACCACATCATCCTGACCCCGGGATAGGATGCGATTGCCAGCCAGCCAGGACAAGGATGAGAGCGAGCTGGAAAGATGTAAGACATGGCTGTATTCCTGGGATATGCGGAAGATGAATTTTTAATTTGTTGCGTTGCTTCCCGTTTTAATTGTTGTTGACAGACTGAGTGACTGACTGACAGCGTAATTTACAATCCTTTTTCTTTTGCCAGCTTAGGAACTCCGAACGGGCGGAGCGGGGGGACTGGAGTGATGGAAATTTTAATTAAAGAAATTGCGGTTAATCCCGTTAGAAAAAATGAAGACTCCGCCCGCGGGGTCAGCACTTTGCTGTGGCTACATCACAACCAAAAATTTGTTGCTAATTGTGTGGCAATGGGCGGGGGTAATACAACTCCTCCTCATCCCCATCCCCATCTACCTATGTACGCATGAATATGTTTCCTATATACATCTCATACTTCATACTTCAAAAGGTGGAAGGAACAACATCTCCGCAAAAAGCTCTGCCTCCTTGTGGCCTTGTTGTGGACACATTTTCACTTTCATTTACTCGCTTTTAATGGTATTATCCAAAAGAGGGGGTTATAGCTGAGATGGTAAGGGGTGGAGAGCTGTTACCCTCCGACTCGCTCATATTTGTCAAAGGATTCTGAGTAATTTCATTTTATGCCATTTGCACATCAATTTCCATCAAAATTTCAAATTCGTAAGACGGCCGAGAGGCCACAAAGGATGTTCAGAGGCAAAGTGCGTTTCAAAAATGATAAAAACTTAAAGAAGTCTTAAGATATATACCTTATTACCTTTTTAATATTATAAAAAATATTAACTAACTACGTCGAACTGTCATAGAAACTCACATCTTTAATGTATTAATCAGTGCTCTTAAGCGACCTATACTTTTTGGAAGCACTGTCCCTGTGTGGTTGAGGAAACTGTGATGTCGTGTTGACATTGTGCGGACCATTAAATCGGGTTTACCTAACCCAAATATTTGGCAGCAAACAACGCAGAGCTTAACCTGTTGATCCTGACAAAAAACGAGTTTGAATACTTGCTAAAAAAGCTAACCAAATAATTGAAATTTATGGTCGACAGCTGCTCTCAAAGCCATCAGAATGGAAGCCCATTATATCTGATATATATGCTCCGTATATATAATATATATATATTTAATGATGGATTATTTGGCCAGTGCAGTTGAAGTTTTAAACTGAGGCCCCTTGTACATTTTATGGGCGTGGTCCGATGAAGAGTCTCAGCGCATAAAACTTAAAAAGTCATTTTGCTGGCAAAGGATGAGCTCGGAGCCAGGGGAAAAAAGGATTAATTGCATGAGGAGCTCTCCGACCCCATGACAACACGAAGTGCACGCGGCCGTGAAGTGAATATCCTGGCTTTCCCATAAGCCATTGACTTGCCACATCCTTTTGGCCAGAACTGAGGACCCATCCAGCCAGCCAGTATCCAACCATCAAGCCAACCAGCCAACCAACCCGGCATGTGTGCTCTGGCGGATCCGTATTTTTTAATAGTGTTCCGTGTGCCTCTTGGCGTTAATTTATGCCACAAAATCATTTTCTTTTATACTCTCCACACTACCAGCCACATGCGAAAATAAAAATTAAAAAAGTGCAAAATATAAAAAGGCAAAGGACGAAGGAGCGGAGCGGAGAGTGGAGAGCGGAGTGCAGAGGCATGGAGATGCAAATTGCGTTGCACTGGCCGCAGGATATGAGACGCAAACGCCAACGCAGTTTTATGTCAAGTGAAAAATGAGTGCGAACTATGACATGAAATATGAGCGTATCTGAGCCTTATCCCCCCTTCCAGAGACGGAACACCCGCCCCCCTGAAAATCCGCACACAAAGTTTTATTAGTTTCTATGTATGGTGGAAATGCGCACGCGAATAAAAGCAAAAATCGGGATTAGCTCGCAAAAACGAAATCGAAAACGTAAACAAATGCAAAAAGGCAAAAAAAAACAAAATAATGAAAAAACCACATAAATAATTTATTATATGACATGCCGCCCCGACGATGATCAGCCGCGACTGATAAGCCCCATTCCCCGGCACGAAACGCTCGGATTTTACCTCAAAAAAAACTAAAGTACCTAAAACAACTTAACAGAAAACAAAATATTACGACAAGCTCGGCTGGGATCGGCTCAGATTGGGTTTTGATTTTGAGTTCGAGTTTGGGTTCCAGTTCGGGTTCAATCGCCAGCGATTTCTCGGCATTACTGCACAGCTTATGCAATCTAAGACGCAGTACGGTGATTTACTCAATTGAACCTACATGGACGTACGTACAGTACGGCGTATATTACACTCCGGCCGGAATGCACACGTCTTGATTCCGCTCTATATGCTGATATAGATCGCGAATAGTGTCCGGGGCAAGGCCGGTGTTTTCATTTTCACTGTCACTGGCATTGGCGGGTTAATAAGTGCCATGACAATGAAACCGCAGCAGCGAGAGTGATGCAATGCAGTGAATCTGAATGCAAGGTCAGGATAGGTTCCAAGATTGCACTAATTTCTGAAATATATACACCATTTGTAGGGCTATCAAAACAGATCAAAACAATCTCATCTATAAACAAAAACACGAACGAAGATTCTGGAATCTCACATCTATAATAGATTTCTTGTTTGTTTTTAATGGATTATAAACAAGAACTATTATTGCTGAAAGCTTTTGCACACTTCAAGATGTAGTTTCTGTAGACGTATTCCATTCATGCTTTCTGGAACCCACATTCCACTACTCACCAGCGACATAGCCACATGCTGGCGCCTCAATGCCGCCCTGCATACGAATTCATTCAACTCAAGAGCGCTGGCCAAATCGAATCGAACTAAACTGAAGTGACCCCGCCGCCCAACTATAAATAACCGAGTGGAATAGGCGTCCAAACATTAGCAATGAAATCATGCATAACCGAAAGATACGAACGAGTATCGGGGTATCAGTACAGAAAAACAAGGCATGCGCGGCACATGGACGTCGGAGATATATCTTCGAGATGCGTGGCAAGGTCGTTTATTTTTGTTTAGCACTGTTTGGAAAATGTTCTCAGCTATGTACAGGAGAAGGAGAAGGAGGAGGCTGTCCAAAGAACGATTTGATTTTCGTGATTTGAACTTGACATTGAATTATGGCAGAGCGATAAGCTGTTGTTTTCAATTGCGATCTTGTGATTCATTCCGGCTCTTCATCATCTCCCGATTTGGATCCCCATCTGTTCTTTTTCTGTTCACATAACTGTACTTCAGGGCACGTGACGGAATAACTCCCCGGGCGATAAGGGTATCAGCTGGCCATACTTACATAATGAGTTAGCTTGAGTGAGTAGAGATCGGTTTGGAAAATATTTACAATGCATTTATTGGAAGCAGTCAAATATTTCACTTTGTCGGGAGATTGGGGCGCTTAAGATGTCATACAAAATTATTCGTACAATATAATTAATATACATATAGTTAAATAAATACATGTTTATGTACGGTGTGTGTGTGTGTGTGTGTGGGTGTATACAGAGAAACAGCATAACCAAATTAGTTATTTATACTTCATTTTGCAAATCATCTACCATAGCTTGATTACAGTATCAACTAACTATGACATTTTAAAGGGAAAATATTATATTTTTAACTCTTTCCAGTAAGATAAACTTCTGTATTAATAATGATTTACTCTAGAAGACCTCAATAAGACCAGGAAATACCCTATACATTTTTGAAAGGCCACGTTGACTTGCAAGAAACGTAGTACAGAACTACTTGGTGATGTTCCCCCTCTGCTGGGGTATGTGTTTGGTGTGGTTAAGTATAACTAAATCAGGACACAGCAGACTTGGCCATTCTCGCAATCGTTACCGGGTCGCAGGAGCCTCTGGTGGCATCGGTCCATGCACTGTCCCAAGTGTTCCGCACAGGGCGCTGGTCTGACCGGCACTGCAACGGCAACGGGATGACGTTTGACGTTTTTGAGGGCGTCGGGACACATAGAATGGATCGGGGTTTTTGGGTTAGTGGCGACTTTTCGGGGTAGCGGTGCCGATTGGGTTTGATTTGTGTTAGCGATTTAGCAAAGCAGACGGTGGAGATGAGGATCGGACTGATGGGGTTTTGGGTATTTGGGGGTGTTTGTGCAGTTTTAAGCAGGATGGTACACACAGCAGAGAGCCAGCAATCTACTCACGTTCGTAGCAGCACTCCACGCCCTGGCTGGCACTCGTAGGACACAATCCCTTGTTCGTGGTGGGTTCGTTGCAGTCATCCGTTTTAACACACAGTCCACCCACCAGAACGCACTGTCGATCGTTGGGGTATACAAGAACGCCCTGCAGCCCTACGATTTGTGGGAGTTATGACTAATGATCGGATATAGCAGACTGATCCAGACACTTACTGTACACATCTGAGGTATCCACTTCGTTTGTCTCGATATCCGCATGGACCTGGTGCAACACCAGGATTGTGCTGACCAGCAGGCAGCTCAACAAGCTCTTCCTAAACGACATTTTTAGATATTCGTCTGGTTTACCGGGCGTATACGTGATATGCCTAAAGTCAATTCTGTTCGGTCCGAATTGATTGTCTTTGTATCTTCGATGCACTTCACTCTGCCAATAATCCACTTCCACTCGATGGCACGGTTTGCGATGGACTGATCCCAGCTAATTACGCTACAGAGGCTTTTCAACGAAAAAATACTTGCGGATAGAGAGAGAGTGAGAGCGGCGGCGCGAGAGGGAGAAAGAGCGAGCGTTTTTGCACAACTAGGCGCAGAGAAAGAGAAAGAGACGAACGGAGAGGATGATCGGGGCAGAGGAAGTGCGGTTCAATTGAAGACCGTGAGAGAGTTTAGAAAATTGGCCAACTCCGATCGGCTTCATCCGCCTCAATCAGCAAAGCTCTTTACTACACTGAGAGAAAGCGGGAGCGTGTTGTCAGCCAAGAAATTTAAACATTGTTTAATGTTTTATTTTTATCCCTCTGCAAATATAAATATTCGTATTTTAGATGACTTCTAGGTTCTTGATATGTTTCGTAGGTTCTCTCTAAAGACTAAAACATTAAGTTTTCTTCCGGTGCACTAGAGATCGCCCAATGAATGGACCCACAATCAAGCGTTCAACTCAAGCAACCAGCGCCAATCAACGGCCATCGGCGGAGCAAGAACAAGAACCGCATTGAGCGGGGCGTAACGTGATTTTACTGCAAACCGATCTGGTTTGGCACACACATTTCCATCTCCATCCCCACTCTCCTCCTCGGCTCCTCCTCTCCCATTAATTCTTATCGACAATGTTTGTATAATTTTGGAAAACAATTTGTGTGAAATATGTGTGTGCAAAATAAACAAAAGTTGAGATATTACGCATACGCCGCGGTGGGCTGGCTGTGCCCCAGAAACAACAGTTCTGTTTTGGGCCAGATGTTACCTTCATGCGATCTAAACAATTGCGGCTAGAAAGAAATGGAAATTCACTAGAATCGATCAATGAATGAACCAACTGCCTGACCGTGAGAAGCTAAATGGCAATGGGTAAGGGAAGTACTTTATTTTTGTTTGTTTTGGCCAGCGATGATGTGGTCAAGCAAACATATAGCTTTCATTTTGGGGTAAGCATACAGAATGCACTTCACCTTCCAGATCACCTGATAATGATTGTAAAGGGATCACTCTCAGGCCTTGTAAATCCGTTCGTTTCGAGTGGGAGCAGCTCCGCAACAGAGAAGTTCCCCTGAACTCGGCGCTTATCAGTTTTGAATTCAAGTTTTCCCAAAGAGCTTTCACCCGAAAAAGCTGTCAGCACATGGTTTTCGTCTTGGGAAAACGTTTAACTCAAAGCTTTGGCCAAACGAGTTGCCAGACGTGGAATATCCCCCCCATAAGCCTATGATTATTCGTTTTAAAACCAGGTTCTTAGAAAAGCAAACCTCCCGTTGGGTGAGTCATCTTCGATAGGGTTTTCATTTATTACACTTAATTACTTATTCATCTATTTTCAGTTGAACTGGCATTTGAATGCATATGCACATACAGATATCTTTCATTGTCAGTCTTTTTGTGGGATCTTACGACATCTAATACTTGGCCCATTGCCATAAACAGCAAATATCACAGAGTCGGGGTAAGAAGGCTGAATCCAGGGATCCACCGGCTGCTTATCAGCCAGCTCAGTCAGCCGACTTCTGCAGTTCATTGACGATGATCACGTCGCAGGTGACTGCAGGTGGCACTGGAGTGGCCGGTGGCGGCGGAGGTGAGGCTGGGGCACTCAGTTCGCCGGCCTTGTTGTTGAACGGTATCACAAACACACTCGTCTTGGCCGCGTGCTGCATCTTGATCACCGTATCGTAGCTGGGTGGTGCGAATTCACTGTAAGATGGCGATGGCGTAGGCGGTGCCCTCAGGCCCTCGATGGACTGACCTCCGGCGGGACGACGCCTCATGTCACGGCATCTGCGATCCGAACAGGCCATCAGCATAAAGAAGGCGGCCAGGGCCAAAAATGTGGCCACATACCACACGATCGTGATCACATCCATCGCTGTCTGGGATAGTTCGTTGGGCGACTCGACGACAGCTGAAAGTGTTTAGAGTTAATTAGTGACTACTATAGAGATCAACATCCAGACAACCCATAGACAAAGCCAACTTAATGTACTAATTAGAATCTATAATCTAGAATATCAATGGAAAACCCTCGAATGCCTAGAATTTCATCAAGAGCTCCTTTATCCCAGTGCCAGAGCCATCAGGTTATCTGGCACTGTGTTTGTGCTTCCAGTCACGAATTGTGGGTCTGCTCCATAAACTTTATGACGAAACTGCTCGATTCGCATTACTGTCGCGTCATCGAACTACGCTAATGGCTAAAGTGGCCTATTGATAGGGGCTAACCCCGGTTGTGGCTAGCGTAATTAGACTGAAATGGTTTTTGATTGCTGGTTCCAAGGGTCCGGCTAAATCAAGATATTACCAGCGCACGGGAGTTACAAGGGTTACAAAACTAAGTTGGCTACGTCTTCTTGAACTTTCTTTGATATCTTTTTGTTTTATTTTAGCCACAGAAAGTAAATTTACAAATAAATAATTAACTTTGAAACATTTTATCTTCTTTTTATCACTTTATCTAGGCCAATTAGCTTTGTAAATATTTATATTTATTCACAAGCCCAGTTAAAGGACGATCCTTTTAACATGATATCAATATGAAAGCACTTCAATTTATTATTTAATATAGATAAGACTCTAAAAATAGGATCATGATTTTCTTTGTATATAATCACGGACAAATGACTGTTGTCAAGACAAAACTCGAAGAATCTCTGCTTTCTTGGAAAGGTAGGCATTAGTCATAAGAGCTGATTAAATCAGTTCTTTGAGCTGCTTAGATTATGTCAGATTAATAACTAATTAGCACAAGCACTCCTATCTAATTTTAGTTTGTTTTTTAACTTTTCACTCTTTTCTTGTATTAAGTTGGATGTATATCTGGTAGTACTTTGTCTTTGGTTTTGGCACTTTTCACATTTTCCTTATAGGGATACTTACTGTTTTTGTAGACAATTATGCGGGTGTTGTTCGAGATGGTATCGGGAAACAGGTCCACATCGGTGGTTCCGTTGGCGGAGGTTAGGTTGTAGGGCAGCTGGCGGGAGGACTCGTTGAGGACGTTCTCCAAGCTGAAGAGATAGGACTGGCCGTGTACGCAGCACGAGCTGGCGATGATCACTGGAATGGAATGAAATGGCCACGCCGAACCAAACCAAGCCGCATCGAAACAAATCGAAACGAAACGGCAGGGAACGGAGCGGAGCGGATGAGGGGCATTAGCGACATTATGGTATCAGGAAATCAAGACGGAGTGGTGAGTGGTGAGCTCACTGATAGCTTATCACCGCCGTTCGGTGGCGTGCGAACGAATGGATCTCCGTTCAGGTGGGAGAGCTGAAGACAAACATCTTCATCGGCGACTGATAAGGGTATCTAAATATTGTCACTGCCAGCGGGGCGTTCCCCTCGTAAATGGATCGCTTAATAAGCTCAGCCAATCGGGCGTTTAACGTTTAAGTTTACGGCCAAAGCCACTCGACGATAAGACCCCGAATGACGACCCGGTGTCTGAGGCGGTTTTGGGATAGCTCCCTTCCTGATATAGATGGAGAATATCTCTAGTTGCAGCGACTAGTGAGGTAGGTGTTAGCCTATATATGTTCGAATATTATCTTTCTAGCTGCGGCTTGCAAAATATTTTGACACTCCCATCAAAACACAAACACCATAAAAGCCAAGTAAGCTGCCGCCAATAAAGCACTATCTCGTTTTAAAGACCCTCCGATGAGTTGGCAACCGCGTTTGCACACTTCTTTGGCGGCGTCCATATTTCACCATCGAAGGTGCGTTCTTCTTTGGAACAAAATGGATGGATTGATGGATGGATGGCTGGCTGGATGGGCACACGGCACACCATCTTTCTATAAAGACCAAATATCTTTACAACGTCTGCCAATAATTACTTGATTGCGGAACTGCGAATGCTATCAATTTCACCACGAACGTGATGAAATTTCGGTCGCACCAAAATGTTGACCTAGGTTGGGGATGTGACGAGTCTCGATGAGAGACAGCTGGTCATTCCCATATAAACATTTGTTTTGCCAGTCCAGAGGAAAGTTGCCCAGCCTAATCTGAGATAACCCATACGCCCTGTTGTCTAACCAAAAAGATAGAATATTTGAAAGGCAGGAAAGTTGAATGAATATCTGGGTTTTTTTTATATCTTAAAGTCATTTGAACAGTAGTCATGTGGGAACTCCGATCCCGAGGAGACTTCGTTGAATGGAATCTTTGTGCTAATCTCAGATAAAGATTAAGTTTCATCTAGAACATGACCATGTTCATGAGAAAACACCTGTCGCATGAATGGAATCTTCCTGCTAGTCCACAGCAAATATTTTCCATGCTGATAAGTCTTCTCAAGATCTATCTGAAAATGTAACCAAGTAATTACAAACAGACCTGGGCAACCCTGTTCTACTTCTACACGCACTAAAAGCTAGATTAGGCCACTTGATATATGGGTTCTAAAATTAACTGCCAAAGCTATTGTTGGGTGTGGGTTTCTTGGTGCTGAATTTTCCAGTTAACAGTGGATATATTGTGCGGGTGGGTTCGGTTATTTATAGAGTGTCGAGTTGATACTGATAAGGTGGCAGTAAAAAAACGCATGCAAACACCAGCACAAACCCATTGAAACGCCAAACAAAACCAGCGAGGTGGAAGTGGAAAAACAAGCAGCCACAACAAAATATTAGCAATTAAATTCTAATTAGCTACTAATGGCAAAACGTGCTGGGTTCAACGTCAGCAACTTTAGTGGTGCGGTGGCACCTGAGCAAACCGAATGGCATTGTCTAGCCCACATGCCACATGCCATGTTCCATGTGCTCGAGTTATATATCGGAGTTACAGATAAACCAACTCCGCTCGCCTTGAACCTGCTTTCCACTTAAGAAGTCAAATTTTGGGAATTTCCGTGATTTGTTGCCATTATCCACAAGTTGGGAGGCTTGAGTACACAGCGGCTTGGAGTACACCGCCCCATTTAATAACGTCATTTGTCATTAGCATTTGGGGCTTGCCAGTGACTTGAGCCTAACCGGTTTCCA